TCCTTGCTTGCTTCCCTAAACACATATCTTTGTAAAGCTGGAGACACTGACAGATTTGTACAGACATCCACAACAATGACAATGCGCTCCAGCATCAACACACACATCTTTCTCAATAAAGAATGAAAATATTGTGACTGCACATGCCTGATACCTTTATTTTAATAATAATTACTCTTTCATTAAAAGGAAAAAAAAACCTGCAAGCTTTAAGCTATCTGTTCTCTAGCCTGAAAACTTCGAAAAAATAAGTCTACTTTGTGTCCTGGTCAGCCTGCTTTGCTAAACACATTATATGACACTTCTGCCTCAGGAGGTTTTCGTTTAAACTCATTTAAAACTTCACTCAGAACATTGTGATTTGAGAATACTACCCAGCACAGTGAAACACCCCGTTATAAGGCAACAGTACTTCAGTTGGTGATTAATGACGCCAGGCACGTTTTTTCTCTTTGGCTTATGTCTCACTCACATTCATCGCACTTCTTCCCTAATCAAAGGCACTACTAAATTAAAAAGCAGTTTTCAGATGCCTAAATCAAGCTATTGTGCCTCATTTTAGAGCAGATTCTCAGAAGGGATGGGAAGTTAATTGCGAAGAAGAGACAAACCTCCGGCTCTCCAGCGGGCGCCCGTCGCTAGAGATGCTCCGGGGGATGTTGGCCGCTCGCTCCGGCGGGGGCATCTTCCCTTCTCCTTTCCCAGAGGCCATCCGAGACGGGACTGGGCTCTGCATCTGGGATGGTACCTGGGCCACGTGAGATCCCTGCCCTTTGCTGGCATTTCGCTGCCACTTGTTGTTATTTCTGAAGGGAAACTTGAATTCATACGGCACTCCTTCATTCACTTTGTACTCCATCACCGGCAGGCGGTAGTTTTCCGAAGAACTTCTGCAAAGGGAAAAATGAACCTGCTGCTATCCAAAGCAAACACACCGACAGGCACTGGGAAGCAATTCTCTAGGATATAGGTAAGCAGGAGTTTCTAAGCCCATTAACACACCCTGCTGCCTTCAGTTTGTGGCAATGAAGATATAAATAGCTACAAGGTCAATAAAGTTGTCCCACGAGTCTATCATAGGGGAGAGGTGCTACCTTCTACAATTCTATCCTAGGAATAAAACAAAATGTCCCACCCCAAAACCTGATCTGAAGACTATGGATTCAAAAGCAGTAAAAACACGGTCTCAAGGAATTCAAACATAAGGCATCCTGTGTTTCTCTGCTAGACAACATATTCAATGAACGCTGAAATGAAGCAAGTTCCCAAGTGGCTATTTCTGTACTAATGTGTGAAGCACATTGAAGGCAATTGCTACAAAGTTAACAAAACAGACAAAAATCTGAACCAGCATAGAACTTGAAAAGGTTCAAATCGACCAAAAATTTTATCATGCTTCATTTTCAAACAACTTAGACCTTTGGAGAAGCTTGATTGATAAATCTTTACTTTGTGAAAATTAAAGACTGGCTGAAAATTGCAAATGGTAAATTTGTCTTCTACTTCCTGATGATGTGCAGGAATAGGCCAGCAGAAAACTGGTCAGTTGGAACTGGACATGAGCTAATGCAGTCCATTAGAGATGCAGGGAGAACTTCCACAAATATTCCAAGTTAGACCTTCAGCTGTGGTACTGTCAGTTTTGATACTTCTCTTGAAAAAAAATAGCTCCTTTTTTTGGAAATAAATTTCTATTGTGGTACTTTGCTCATCCATGCACATCATTAGCTAATGGGAAGGCAAACAAGGCCCTGCGCTGTAAATAACGAGTGCAAATTTTCCTACTTTCAACTCTTTTTCTATGCGATTGCTCAATTAGCATTGAGGACTATCAATGTCTTTTTCCAGTTAAAGTACAAAACAAAACATCGTTATCTGGCCCTGCTGATGTAACAAGTTGTTACAAGAATAAATTCCCCATTTTTTTCTGTGTCCTTAATTTCAAGGTCAGCAATCGGTTCACTGAGAAGAGTTCAGTAACAAAGCTTTGATGACTACATTTTGTCATTTTATCTAAATGCACCTCGAGTTTTACCCAACCTTTTGCCAATCAGTTTATGAGGACGAGAACTGCTTCTCCTGTGTGCACTGCACTGTGCAGAACAGATCTCCCTCTCAGTAAAGAGTTTCCAGAAGTTGACCTAACATCAACATTAAAACCCGTTACCCCCTAAGAATACAGTTAAAAGATTTAAATTCTGGAAGAATTAACTGCCAAAAGAGAAATTGTTCTGCACCAAGAGAAATAGCTTTGTGCAAAAATTTAGGCCAACTCTTCAGTAATATATACAGGACAGGTACAAATTCAAGGCACCGTTTCTAAACCTTAATGATCTTGGCTACAGTGGGCAGGATAAATTGTTGCTTTAAGAAACTTTATAATTAGGTAATAAAGTACTATGAGCACTAGCTCGCCCCAGGACCATAACAGAACCCACTGATGCTGAGTACTGTATTTCAAAATAATGCAGTGATTTCCCTTCATGCTGTGAATATGGATAGAGCAAAGCTAAGCTCGCCTTTGACTGTACTTAATTTAGTTTAGAAATAATAGGATCTGTGCTTTCCACACAGATTTTTGTGTTCTAATCCTTTTCCTATGATTGCAGCTGAATTTTCCATTTGCTTAGACTGCTGAATACTACACGAAAGCTTTCCAAGTGCCTCATGGATGACCTTATGGCACTGCTCCCTTTATTCCCTGACATCCATTCAACTTTCCACTGACAACTGAGGGACAACTGAAAATTACATATCAACGTGATAAACATGAATTCGAGTTTAGCTCTGACCTTAACTATATGAAGAGTTATTCCCTGTCCTTAGGAAGTTATTGTATGACTGGAAAACAGGGCAAAACCCTCTCCATTTCCCACTGCAAAGAACATTGAATTTCAGTAGCTGTACTTGCTTCTCCTTGGCAAACCTAATATAAATCTTGAGCTTGCCTTTAGGCAAATTTGTTCTGTTAAATATCATTCTATTTTATTCATGCACCATTTTTGAGTAATTAATAAAAGATGTTGGGGATACTAGAGCAGATTCAGCTTCAGACAAGGGCAAAGAGTTCAGAGGGGAGTAGGAAAAATAAAAAGCTTCAGAGTTCAGGAAGAAATCAAGGGACTTAATGTTTGACTTAGCCAAAGCAAAACCAAACCAAAATGCATGCTAATGTTTAGTTGTGATCAAGCTACATTTAAAAAGCTATAAAAGCAATCATGTAGTTGACAAGCCTCCAGCTCAGCAAGGATGGGAAATGATAGAGAGGCAATAAAATGTACTGTAGCAAAGAACTGTAATTTGCAGCAATTTTCCTGTACAAACACTGTTGATGGACTTTATGAACATGTGTCCATTCACAGTTTTCAGATATTAACATCTACAGATCTTACAAATTAACAAGTGGAAAAGCATGGAGGAGAAAGTATAGTTATTTTGATGCGTTATAAATGCACATTTCTCAAAAGTTTTTCAATTCCCACTTCAAGTAAGTGCAATAACTAAAGAACAGGAAAATGGGTTTAAATGATACCTAAGCTGTTTTGGACATTTCATGGAACCACAGTAATTACTGAATAGTTTGTGAAGCCTGACACGTGAACATTGGCAGTTTGTGCTGCCCTCTCCTTTTACTAACAACACTAATACGCAGGCCATAAGGTAATTATGCCTTATTTGGAGAGAAGTCACCATTTTATTTTTTATCTTTTTAAATCCAGATTAACTTCTGACCCAAGGTGACTACCGTGCAGTACCTGCGCGGCGTGCAGTCCTCGTAGGGCGGGATGATGACGACCTTCACGGTGACTGAGGTCCTCAGCAGGTCGATCATCTGCTCGTGGCTCAGCGTGGCTACGGCCACCTTGCAGATCTCCACCAGGCGGCTGCCCTGCCGCAGCCCTGCCTGCCACGCGTAGCCGTAGGGCTCCACGTCGGCCACGATGCCTTCGTAGTTCACGTGGAAGCCAAGCTGCCCCAGGCCGTTGCGGCGCAGAGTCATCTCCACCGTTTCACAGCCCTTGGTCACCAGCTGGGACGTGAAATGGAGAATTTAATGCACTGAGATACACAGAGCGGCAATAAAGGTTTGAGGACTACATGTTAAAAAAAAAATGCCCCCAAGACAAGGGTGGGAGAAGATCAAGGGAAAATGTATCCCAGTCCCAGGTAACAACCAGCTGAAATGAATCCCTTCACTCAAACTAGAATTTTGAGTTAGTGTCTGGTTAACATAGTTTGCCTTAAACTTTTTTTTACTGAACCCACAGCAATTTTACTAGAAATATGGCATCACACAACAGATGCATAAACTTATCTATTTAATCCACAGTTCACACTTCAGCAGCAAAGCAACTACACTAGATTTCTACTTGCTTCTGTGAACTGTAACACTACTGCTAGCCAGAAGAACAATCTGGTGGTCCACGGGTGCTCAGCTCAGGAGGCGAGACTCCAGGTCAACTCTTCTGTGTACCAGGAGCAAGAGTAGAGTCAAAAGTGGCCTAACAGAACATACTTTACCCCTTTTTCCTGGTCATTCATTATACAATTACTGTGGTGGAATTACAGTAAAGACAACACATTCCATCATGATCAACTGGATTAAAAAAAATGAACACAGGCAGATGTTTTACAGATATTATGATTCACTGCATTTTTAGTTCTTTTCATCATACGCAGTGGGAGACTATCTGAAGGCTGCAAAAGAGATTGCAATTGCACCCTGCTGACAAAATGGTAAGTCAGTCTCAAAGATATTACAGCCTCATTTGAAACAAGACACAGCAAGCATATAAACTGTAAATACGACAAAGCAAGTAAGGTACTTCAGTATTTACTGTGGGAGCAATTTATGTATTTGGAGGCACTGTATGGCCTTTATTATTAAGACATCTTTGATGTGCAGATGACCAGCTGAGGATGGTTGATATCTGATAAATATCAAAGCAATTCGGATTTTTGAAAAGGGCAGAAAAGTCCTTATGGATTTAAGGATATATAATTAGAAGGGTTGTAGGCACCCCGAGCTTTACTGAAGTCCTAATTGGGGGTGGGAGGAGAAAGCAAAGAAGGGGACCCAAACAAAAGAACACATTCTAACCTCCAGCCTTTTGACGATCTCTTTGATATCGTCGGACATGTTGCTGATGAAGCTCTCCAAAGAGACACATTCACCCCTCTCATAGAATATTTTGATATTTGTATCCGTTGAAGTCCACCCTATCACATCTCGACAGGAGCAATTGAACACCACGCTTTTTGTGTCCTGCTCAATGAGGACTACAAACTCATTAGAGATGCCAAGGAGACAGTCTATTTCCATACCCTTGCTGTAGTCTTTAGCATGGACACTCCATACAATAGCACCAGAACTATAGATCTCTGCTCCTGGATAAGGCTTGGACTTTTCTTTCTTCTTTGAAGCAAGGGAGATGAACGGGAACTTGCCAGAAGGGTCAATTGGAGTGTTGGTGACATTTTTCTCTGCCAAGTCTTTCAAATATTCTTGTCGGGTCCTGGTGGCCATTGCCCGGAACTTCTCTGATTTGTGAGCAGCATTCTCTGCATTAATGACTTTGGCCAGTAAGAAGTCCCTGAACACATTTGATTTGGGAAAGGTGACACCTTTTGGGATGGGTGGTCCAAAGGACGGTACATCTCTGGATCTTGTCACAGCAACACTAAAAGAAATAAAGGAGCAAGGAAAAAGCATAGTGTTTTATTGCATATGAATATATATCAGTTTTTGAATAAAAGTATATTTCCCTTTTCCTTATCCTTTTCTCTTATCCTTCTTTTTCTTTCTTCCCTAACCACAACATTTCTGATGCATTCCATAACACAAAGGCTAGCAGATGAGGTAGGTACCTAATGCTGAAACACATCTCTCTCAGATGAGAGCAATGCCAAGTATATGCAAAAAAAATACAAGAGATGCAGGAAAAACGGATATATTAAAAAGACAGAGACATTAAAGTCATCTCAGATGGCTAACTTCATTGTGAGGGTCAGCATCTGGTGACTGAACACTAAAGTATGTGACATTACTGATCACATTTTATTTTTTTCCTTCAAAAGTGCCCTACCCGATACTGCATTCAACTAACAGAAGCAGCACAAGGAATGTATTCACTGCTCGGCAAAATTTAGCTGGGCAAAATTTAGGATCAGAAGCTGCTCCAAAAATACGAGAAATAAGAAACTTCTTAAAAGATTGGAGATGCGTACTAGAAATAGATGTTTTTTCAATACTTTCTTTCAGTTTTCATGCCAAGTGAAGGACCGACCACACACTGTGCTCAGGCAGTGCTGTTAAGCCTAGCTGTTCTCTCCAGCCCATTCCTCTCTGATTCATAGCAGCTGAGAGCTTCTTGGCCTCACTGAAAATGAAGCACTCCAGTCCTCTACTAGTCACTCTGTAGTCTGCCGTAGGCTGAGATCACCAACTGTACTGCAAAAGTTCTGTGACAAAAACTGCTTCGATATTGTTCAAATTTCATTTATCACATAACTATATCTAGATCTTGTGACAGAGGCAGAAAAAAATAATTTATTGATTTATTTTCAACCAAATTTGACAGCAATAGAAATTTATGAAGAAAAATATGATGGAAGGACTTCAATACACTGGAAATCTGTGTGATGGTTCAACTAGAATGTTAGTATTATTTTTATATTTTATTCTAATCCAACTCCTTAACCCTAATTAGAGGCAGAAACACTAATAAAGACTACACAACTCCCTAATGATCTCTTCTTTCTTAATCTTATTTCCTAGCAAATGATTTCAAAGATATGGTAACGTGAGGGCTTGCAAATATATGCCAATATAGCTATAATTTTCCTCATGATGAAGCTACCCAGCTCTTCATCATCTTTAGCAGCCCTGGATAAACTCTTTATTAAGGGACGGAAGCATTAGAGTTAAATATCATTACAATGAAAAAATGTTGGCGACTTCTTTTTATTAAATTTTCAACAGCATCAACCATGAGGATAAAAAATTAATTTTTAACATATGCTAGAGAAGTTTAAAATGTGAAAGATGCTGACAGAGAAGCCAGACATTTCAAAGACTGTTGATCTTAGACGAGAGAGAGAATCACTGGCCAAGACAGTGCTTGATTTTCTTCCTTTTATGTAGCTCTCAATATAAATTCCAGTACGATTTTATGCTATATGGCTTCCTGTTTTGTCTAGAATTATGAATCTATGAGACTGTTCCAAATAATCCAGTGAAGAAAAGAGGTCAAATTTACTTTGAAAAGTCTCCTAGAAAAACGTTTCATAATGGAATTCTATAAATTTAAAGCAAGCGTTTGTGCTGAGAGGGACGGGGAAACGAGGGAGAGGAGCATTTTAAGCTTAAAGAGCACACAGAGCACAGAATGTCCTGGCAGGCTCCGGAGGCCCATCAGTATGGATACAGCTGCAGGACTTGGACTAGCACCTTGCCAATTCTAATAAGTGTCCGATATTGACAATTTACAGTTCTGTTTTCCTTCCCTTCCCAATTCGCCTTCCCTGTAAACTCTATGACTGTAGGGTCACCAAAACTCAACTACTCAAACAGTTTTTTTCATAAATCATTAAGCTTCATACTTGTGACAAAAATCTCATTTAAATTTATTTTAGTAGTAAGTTTAAACCTCCACCGGGCTTTTCAAAAGGAAGAGATTTAATATTTCAAGGAACTTCTTTTAGGGAAGTTTCTTCTTGCGAAAGATTAAGCCATACTTTTTCCTTCTCTTCATTTCGAAAAGTCTTCATTTCAGAGATTCCCCAAAATCTGGGCAAAAAGTCAAGTCATAAAAATCAAAGCAGAAACACTTCTCCAGAATATTGTTATGAAGAGAATAAACAGGAAAGGGAGAATGGGAAAGGACTGTGAGAACAGAATTCTGAAACCATTCCAGAAGGCTTGACTGTAGATACTAGAAGCATTAGCTTCATCAATACTTTATACTACATGCCAGCGCATTATTATTTATTTTAATAAAAAGGTCTAAATTCAAAGGTCCCCTTGGCCAGTGTGTCATGCTGTTTCCCCGCAGATGGGGGACTGCACCCTCCTGTGTGCGAGGCTCCCCGGGAGCTGGGAAGGCTGCGATAGGTACCTGTAGCAGACGCTGTCGGTGCAGGGGTTGTGCACCCTGACGATGACAAAGACGTGCTGGAAGTGGGACCGAATGTTCTTGGGGCTGAACGGCTGCGCTCCGGGCTCCTGGAAAACTATCGTCACAATATCGTTCCCAATGTGCCGCTTTCTCAGAAGCTTGGGCGGAAAAGGAAGGAAAAGAGGAGGAGGTTACATAAGTTAAAATATCATCTTTAAGAATCCTTCCACAATTTTTCACTTTTAATTATTCCCCCCCCCCCTTTTTTTAAATCAAATTCTATTGCCCAATCCCTTACGTAAGTGATAATTCCAAGCTGAAAACCAAACAGCTGTGGATTAACATGATAGGCAGCAGAATGTTAGTTATCTAATGGATTTGTTAGGTAAAGATTTTATCTAAAAAACAACAAAAACACCCCAAGGTAGGTGATCAGCCAGTCAACCTGTGATACATAAAGTAGGAAAATATTTATTATTTTGCACCTTTTTTACAAGTCAGAGACAAGTTTTAATTCAAGTTGAAATTAGTTATTATAATAAATTTCTTCTTGCCTTCTTGAAGTAAAATCCAAGATTAGTGCAGATGAGAAAGATAAACTAAAAAATAGAGTAAAATTTAGGTTATGAAAGGAAGCTATAAAGCATACTATGCTTTCATTGCTATAAAAACTTCATTTTTGTTTGTAGAAATACAAAGACCATCATCATTTCTAGAGTAAAAGGTATACACATCGCAGCTATCATGTTCTTACAACAACTTCCTAAGCTCCCCTTCCTGGCACAGAAATGGATGCAATTTTAGTTTTGGTTCTTTAAGTGTTCTCTTTGCTAGTAATAAATCAAATTTGTAGTAATATTGAATAGCTTAACTATTTGTGAGATGAAATAAAACCCATTCTGAATAGACATGGTTTATCCTACCTGTTGCTTGTTGTTTGGAGTATATGGCAGCATAGTAGAAACATGGAACATGATTTCATAGTCCTTGTATGTCGTATATAGAGAGTGAGTACCAGTGGAATCAGCTGCAGTTAAAGAAGAGAAAAACAAAAAAGAAGATATAAACAGTATTCTTTTTAATTATGAAAAAAAAGTTTCATTATTGTCAAAGACAAACACTAGGTAAAATAATTCCTATTCATCATTGATCCTAGCTTAAATGACAGTAAGTCTCAGAGTTTATTCACCTGCAAAAACAAATAACTCGCACAGAGGCATGTGTGATTTTGCAAAGATACTTTTGTCAGTGATGAACTTGCTAGTGATGCAGAATTTCTACCAGAACATCCCCAGGAAAGCCTATCTGAGCATGCAGAATGCCAAACACAGCAAAGAAGGGCAAGTTCACACACACAAATATACATACGTTACATACATAGTGTAAAAATATAAACTGGTTCCATTTTGCACACCAGTACAGATTTGCATTAGGCCCATTAGTTCATCTCTACTTTTACAACCTTTGCTGCTTAATTTCTACTGCTAAAAATGATTCTTTCTTCTTTGGTCTAGGGGTGCAGAGGGATTGAGGAAGGGAGAGAAAGAAAAATCAAATCCAACTATGACAAAAATGTATCACAAAAAATGATATTGGAATTCAGAGAAGTCATGGGAATGGAAAAGTAAAGTTCATTGACCGGGAAACTTCAATAAAGGGAAGAAACCACCTGTCAACATGCAACATTACTTAAAAAAAATATAATACACAGTGCATTCAAAAGGATTGATTCTTTGGAAACAGTTTTTAATAGACATATTTATATTCTGGAACAAAAGGCATAGTTTCCAAGGCACCACCCAATATTTTAGGATAACTGGAATGAAACTGAAGTGTAAGGAATGTGGAAAGGACTTCAGAAAGGAGGGCAGACAGAGACTGTGAATGAATACCATGATTTCACACGTAATTAAATACTGATGCACATATAATACACAATATATGAAAGACCAGAACGGGTTCCTTTGAATGTAAACATCAGGACTCCAAATTAACTGTAACGAAGCCAGATAAAACCTTCTCTAAAATCAGTGCTTAATGGAAAGGAGCAAACCAAACCCCAACAGGATGTTCACAGGCGTACAGGCTACAAGGGAAAAACCCCACAACAAAGACCATGCAGGGCGGGTGTATGAATCACAGGTGCTCTCACCTGCTTTGTCTGCTGGTCACCCTATTTTAAAAGCTATAGAAGAAACAGAAGGGATCCAGAAACAGGCCACAAAAACAATTATATGTGGATGGAGAACTTCCAGGTGGAGAGAAAACAAAAAATACTAGGATTATCAAATTTAAAAAGAAATAAAAGAAGAGGGGATATTATGTAGGTTTGCAAAGCTTTGCTTCAAGTCAACACTTGATTACAGACAAATTGGGAACTTGTTTTTTTCCTTTCTGTCTCAAAAAAGACCTTGAAAAATGTTTCACTAAATAAAACAGCTGCATGCTTAAAGGGAAAATAGTAAATATATTCCATTGAATTTAATTGCTGTCCTCAGTTCAAAAAGCCAGCTTTCAAACAGAACTGAAAACGAACTATATCTATATATAGCAAAAAGCATTCTGGTTATTTACAATTATATAAACCTGATACTCCATTATATAATCTCAAATATTTTTAGTAATATTCTTTAAAGCTCAGTTAAACATTATGCCTCAGTGTAATTTATCAGCAGATAAAACAAATTACAAAAAAGATAATGGTGTTGGTATTTTTGAGGAATTCACAGCACCATAAATGTACAATGTTTATTTACCCAAATTTAGGTATAGCTACTACAAAGAGTTTTCATTTTTGGTCAGACTTAGAATAATAAAATAATGCTAACTATGTAATCAGTGAGAACTGCAACATGACAAATAAAACGAAATATAGTGACTTCTACATTGTGATTCGAAAGAGACGTTGCACTTTAAAAATGCCTATACTCAAAAAAAGGGAAGAGAGGAAAAAAGCATTCCTAGAATTTTAAGGAAAAAAAAGGTCTGTAAATGTTTCAAATGCTCAACATCCTCATTATGAAAAACTAGCTAAATGCTAAATACATTCTGGTAATTATAGCAGCACAAAAGCTGAAGGGGAATCATTTCATTTTGCAGTCAGTTCCCTGCAGCTTCTTCCTCTGCCTGATCATTAAAACGAGCGCTGAAGGAGCTGGATGCACTGAAGAGTCACCTACACCTCACTGTAAGTAGTCCTTACTGGCTCTTTTGGTCCAGCTGCAGACACGCTAATTTATATATCACCCCTGACAAACAGAGCTCATGAATATCATAAAGTTGCACAAGAGGAGAGTAGGTGGGAAGATGATAAGATCCCCCAAAAAAGAAGTGGGAGAGAGAGCAAAAAAGATGGGCATTCCTGACAATGAGCACTGCCAGGAGCACAGCTGAGCCTTCAAGTCAAGCATTCAACCTTCCTGGATGGACTTACTGCAGACAGAACAAGTGCATGAGGGGTTTCCTCCTCCCCACTTAAGGCACACAGATTTCTCCTAACAGTTCTGCAAATTAAGCAACAAAGCTACATTCCTAATGAGATATTTAATTATTTCAACTGTTTAGCAAAGTCGTGACAGCTTAATTTAGATACAAATGGAAGCCCATGTCCAATGCAAACATCTTTTTCACCATTTAGATAGCTTCTTTCTTACAAGTGACGAATACTTCTACTGAAGTTGAATAACTGCAGATGCTGCTTAACTTGAATTGTTGCCATTCATGCCAGCAAAATCCAAGACTGCATATTGGTACAGTATTCATCATGACAAGGTCAGAATGAGCTTCAAAATTTAATTTGGCCTCCTTGTATTCAACAGCTAACCTAGAGCTCTACAAATTCATTAACACCTTTTTTTTTCCACACTGAAGACATCCCTTTCTACCATCAGTTCATTGCCTACCTGTTGCTGCTGTCTTCTCAGTTCTGTTCATTTACTGCACTTGCTCGCTTAGCTTAAAAAAGTTTTTTTCTCTTCCATCTCTATTTACCTTTAAACACCCATCAAAATCTTCTGTCCTTCTAACCTGTTTTCAGTGAGTCTCAGAGACTGTCTTAGCAGATTCCCATTTCTGTCAACATCAGCTCAAAATTGTTATTCACCTAAACCATATACTGTTGACAAATGAAAGCAGAGCCTTACTGAAGCCAAATAACTTTGCGAGCACATACCTACTGCAGCTTTTAACGACTGTGAAATAGAAAACTATGCCAAAAATTTTAAGAGCAGAAAATCAATTCAAGTTGCATTTTTGAAGAAAATATCTTCCAAGGAATGGAAGGAAAACAAAAATAAATGCTGCTGGGCAGGAGCAAGACTAGCCACTAGTACAAATCAAAGCCGTGCTCAAGAGCAAAAAGGTCCTGCCATGTCAAGGCTAATGCTGTTTCAGTTTAACGTCTGCTGTTAAAAAAGACAAACAAAAACATGATTTCTAGTTTCACTTAGAGATCTGCCCAGCTTCAGCATCTGTCCAACATACTTTCTTCTATTATACACTAGGTTTTTAATCTATTTAACATCACGTTGTTTTTACATTCTTCTAATGTCAACCTAAAAGGCATGCAGTATAAAAATCCTACATAGAAATGTACCATTACTACTATGTAAGCTTATAATTTCAAATAGATTCTCCAAAAAGCCCTTCTATGTTTAATATTATATCCATGATTCCAGCACCAATCATTCTATCACTTTGCTGGACATCAATGTTAGGCTACTGGGTTAACATTATGCAACTGTTCCCGTTTGCAAATTCAAGATACCAAGAACTATGCATAAGTGAGAGGATGGAAAAATAAAGCCAGCAGTCCAACCGAAAAATAAAGGAAAATGACTGAAGTTACAATTTTAGCAATAACTCTGATGTTTATTTCTTTAAAACGATGCCCGTAAAATTCCTAGCGACCGTGGGAGAGATGACATTTTCAAGCTCTATTTCCTATCCAAAGGCTGCCAGGAGATAGGCTGCTTCCCCTGCGGTAATGCTATAAATACACAGGCCAAACCCAAGAAGTCGCGGTTCTTTTCAACAGTTGCACTGGCGGAGCGCCAAAGCTGGGGTCCTTGAAGGATTACCCTTGCAATGTATTTAAACAGCCTTTCAATTATTAAGATGCATAAGATTGCCTCTTCTAAAAACTGGCTCTGTTATGGACACCGACCAATTAGGCCCCTAATTCAAACAGTTTCTGGGCACAGCCACTGTTCTGCAACACTCCTTTGCTATAAGTCTTTCTTTTCCAAGTTTGCATAAAATACAAACATATAATCTTGTGAAAATCTGCCCAGAGTATATACAAAGCAGCTTCCTTCCCCAGTGAGGGAATCTTTCCTCCTGTCCTACTCAGGCGTCTGCTTTTTGTTGCCGCTAAAACATGGTCAGAGGTATGGAAAGCTGGCAAATTAGTGTACATCGTTGCTCCAACCTTTCGCACAAGTTAATGAGCAGACATTCGTTTTAAGAGCATCTTTGCATTCAACTGTGCTGACATTAAACCGAATGTTCACTCGGGAAACAGCTTCCTGAGTAATGAGACCGAAAAAGCTGTTTCGTGGTGGTGGCCTCTAGCAACGAGAGAGCCCACAGCTGCGAGAGGGAGAAGAGGGTTCCCTAGCTGCACACAGACCTACCTGTACACACCTTAGCTGCCTAAAAATATCCTAAAAATCCTAAAAAAAAAAAATCAATAAACTTGAAACTTGATGGAAACCACACTTACCCAAACAGCCCAGGCCCTTCTGTGTGACGAGCGGGCAGGAAAAACTGGCTACTTGGTGCTTTATGTACTGCCCATATGTATTCTGCTACTCATGCCATAGGCCCCAGCTGGTATGGTGAACGAACAAATGGCTCAACTGCTGTATACATTTACCTTAGACTTCAGCTATACACCCATGATATTCTACCCAGCAAAACACTGCTCTAGGATAAACCTATTTTAATGGATAACCCTGCATATTTCTCAGGTGTCTCTATACTGTCTGGTATGCCTTGCCTAGCTTTCTGTGCCACTCTCAAAGAGACAGGCTGCTGATTGTCATTTCACACACACCACAGCCAAAGAGAGCGCTTTGCTTTTGTCTCCTTCCTCCCTGTGCTCTTTCTTCTGAACAGCAGTGTCAGCGTAACGCATTCATTCAGTCCTGGCAACCCCTAATTCCCCATGCTAAGTTTCTAGCAAAGGCTAAACACAGTCAGCCAGGCTGAAATCCTTTATTTCTAATCTGTATACACGCAGAATAAGCATTTTATTTCCCTTGAATGCAGTTACTGAAGTACTCATGTTTGCCGTGTGCTCCGTGCAATTCCCCATGATCCTGCAGACAACACAACCCTATGGGTCTCACACAGCCCAGATGTTCCTACAGTTCTCCCTGAGGAGCTCCTAAGCCTTGCCTGAAGGGAGCACTTTGTGATACGCCTTCACCAGCAGCTCCTGCCTAGCGCATCTCCCTTTCTTCTCGATCACAGCAACACCTCATGTCAAACCTCTCTTCTCTTTGTATTCTTTCAGATACATAATGGAGCGGGTAGGTGTTATCGGGCACACACCCAGCTTGAAGTGAAAAAGACAGACATGTCAGCTCTCAACATCACTTCAGATGTGCATGAAAAAGATGTATATTTAGTTTTCTAACTGAAGCAAGTTTCTTTTCCACAGAGGACTGATTAGAAGGGCGATGATAGCAATGATGTGATCAAGAACAGCTTGAGGGGATGGCAATTTGGTGCCTGTAAGAATCAAGGACACAAGATAGAGCAATGGAGTAGTAAAGCAAAGCACGTTACTGCGTTTGTGATGGGAGAAAAACCCCCCAAGAGGACAGTTTTTGCTGCACTGCAAGTTGATGAATGTTTTTCTGCTTTCATGGCTCAACTCTATTTAATTCTCTGTGCTGCAAGTGAGTAAAATAACAAGAGATTTCCATAGGCATAAGCTAGTTTCAATATTCAAAGGAAGACTGGTCAAAAATGATCTGCTAAGAGGTTTTAAATAGATCTACACACTGAATAAACTTAAAGCATGCCCAAGTTGTTAAAACTGTTATTTCACAAGCTTGACTCCCAAACCAGAACATATCTTTTATAGATACTGCCACCTAGGATCATCTTCTCACTACATTTTTTTTTTTTTTTTTTTTTTTTTTTTTTTTTTTTTGCTACAGTATGTTTTATGGTCAAAGCTGATAATCAACTGTCAAAAACAGTTTATTTTCAATAGCTGTAGAGGGAAAAAAAACAGACAGGGAAGAATAATTTGACAAGAGTAATACAAAACTGCCTAGAAGAAAAACTACATGCATCAGCCACAGCATAAAAGCAACAGATCAACTTGCCAAGGTGGACAACGAAGATGAATTCTCAGAATTTTTTTTTGTAGCAGCCCATAAACATATCAACTCTACTGATCATTTATTACACAATATACTGGTGATGATTTCACAATGCTAGTAACAACTGTACAGATGTTGGAGTTTTGATGAAAATTTCATACTGAGTTAGCATCCAAATTCAATCATCAACAAGATGAGGAAAGACCTATGGCGTGGGTCAAATCGCATATTGTTCTGCTTTGACATCTAAGATTGAGCAACTTTATGTAGCAAAGAGGTCACTTTTTTAGAACTCTGAGCAAAAGGTCAATTAGAGACCAAGTGAAAAACTTTGTTCATTCAGGGGAATAGTTAAAAACGCCTTACTCTTGGTATCCAGCTGAGCCCGATACTTTTCAAATCCCTTGAGTCGAACTCGTTCTCCCAGGAGCTGAAGAAACTCTTCAAAGGCTGGACCTGCTGATTCGTTATTATACATTTCCTCTTCTGTGCTTTGCCCAGCTTTGCAGTACATGATACCCACCTTAAGCTGGTAACTTAACTGTGAAGAGAAAGAGATGAAAAAAATCTTGTATTTACATCAAGTGATAGTGCAACATATTTACTGAATTCTCTTCATGTTTTTATTAAACTCTTATTCACAAATGAAAGATACCTAAAAATCCTAACAAATACTCCCATTGTGTTCCTCCGTAAGTGCTATGGCATCTTTCATCTGAAGATGTCAAATTGTTTCCAAAATGAAATAAACAATCATGTTCCTTATTTTCTGAAAGATGACACTGCAGCACGGAAATTGTGTCTTGCAGTGAATCACACCACAAGTGTAGGCTGAGAAAATTCAGGAACTTGACTCTCCCTCTTCAGCGGGTACCATGGTTACTATACCATGCTAAACCCTCCACACAGAACGACAGGGCACAACATTCACTCATTTCTGTAATTATTCACAAAATTAACAATATCATTTTCCAAAGAAGACAGAAGTTAACCACCTACTAATAATGCCATCATCCATTAGCAACACTGAAGGAATCAATGGCATTCAGCTGGTCTTTCTGGCTTAAAAAATACAGCAGCATAAACAAACAAACAAAAGCAACAGTTTTAAAGACTGTATTTATTGACACAGAAATTCAAATATACCTCTGAGTTTTACTTCTGTTTTTGCTTTAATTTGATTTATACTTTTAGGTTCCTAGTAAAGCAGAAGTGAAAAACAAAAACAAAATGCCTGTTTTACCTGACCTCAACTGTGATTCTTCAAAACAAACTGTTTCCACAGATGGCAAATCGACTCCCCGGCAAAAGGGGCTGCACCCTTTTGCACACTTTATGCCACACTACGGAAAAGGAAGACACAGAAGGCAGGAACAGCAGCACCCAACAGCCATTTACTGCTGTTTCCAAAAACAGTTTCACAAGCAGAAACTGGTAGGGTACAAAGGAGTCTTGGGGTTTGTGTAGGTAACTCACCTAGGAAAAGAACGCACGCTTTTTGCAAGGTTACTTATTGCAATCTCTCCTACTCCACAGAATTTTTGTATAGGCTCCATTTTAAGTAAATGCCATTTTGTCAGTGGATAATAATGAAAAAGTCTATCAAAATTTTCATGAGATTGAAAGACTAGTTATGTAGGAACAGATATTTGCAAGGGTACTGAAAGGAAGTCATCCAAGCACATTGTGACTGGTCTTAAAAGGGCAATAGAACACACATATACATATTATTCAAAAAGTTTTAGCATCTGCTGGGATGATATAGGCAGAAGTAGTTAAATTTAGACGTATAATAAGCTAAAATTAATATTTATACTGTGCTATTCAAAAAGTCCTGATAGTTTCAGCTTTCTCTCCTAGTAATTTTTTTTTAAATTAAAACAGGTGAAGGAAATTTTTTTCCATGATATAGGCAGTAATGGAAATTCATCTTTCATAAGCAACCCTCTGACTGTACTTGTACCTTTGAAAACGTCAGCCTGAGAAACTAGCAAAGACTGTGCAATGAAATGTCTTCTACTTATGCTCTTATTTTTGCTAAACTTGCGGAATTAAAGCGGATTCAAGGGCACATAGTTGCGATTTACTTCCTTCTGCTAAATCTAAGGTCCTTAAAAGAGTATAATTTGATGGAAGAGAGAAAGAAGGGGTTGAAGGTTGAAATATGCTGAGGTTAAACTCTCACCAAAGTACTCTCATTTTAGTGAAAAAAGAAAAGTCTTTACCTAATTATAGATGTGGGAGAAGTGCACTTCAAATATGTGCCCAGCACTTGGTGAAAGACCATCCAAAGCTTATCTTGGACTTAACTACTCAGCAATTTTACCTTATAGAGCGATATTAAAAGTTGGCTGACATTTCACAGTATTTCTGTGAATGAGGAATCACCATAAAGATAAACTTTTACTGGGATAAACCAGTAATTGGTCTACGATAATTAAATTTTAAAAGCATGTGTGGAAATAAACCTCAAATAAGTTAGCAATGAACTCTGCATTCAAGACAGACTAGTAGGCAGTACTTAACTACAAAGCTCGCAAGGCTTCCCAGAAGGCTGGATTGCACCTTCCACATCCATATGAAGGAATTTTAATCAAGCTAATGGGAAGTACAGCTAGGTACAAGCCACGTGGGCCAGACGAGCAGATATTGGCAACGATGACTAAAGATGTCACCTCCTTCTGCACTGCGGATATCGGAATATCATACGCAGTTCAGATGTCTGCATTCTGCAGATATTAAAAAGCTGGAATAGATAAGGATCAGCCATAAAAATGACACAAAATTCAGAGAAAATATGCTGTAGCGGGAGATGTGAAAAGTGCAATCTGTTTAGTTTATCAGAAACAAGATGGACAGATGATTTATTTACAGCGTACAAAAACCTTCACCGGAAATAAGCCTCATGAAAGGAATCTACAAATATAGCAGAGAAAGAGAATAGAAGAAGTCTGGAAGAAATAGCCAGACATACTGAAGTGAGAATAACTTTGTAGAGCATGAAAATAATCAATTGCTTCAAAATCTCACTCAATGGGTAATAAAATGACAGTCTACCTTAGTTGAAACTGGTGCCTTCCTGGAAATTAAGCTTTATTAAAGCGTGTGTATTTGGCTCAATGAAGGTGTTATGGGGTGAAATATAACAGTGTGCACCAGACAGAAGCCAGGTTAAGGTCACTGTATATTCATAAAACCTTTAATTTACAAAACATCCTATTTGCTATATCAAACAAGCACCTGTTCTGCTGTAATGAAACGGTGTGCCACTCGAAAGGAAAAAGTGATAAACAGTCTGTACACCTAATTAGAGGAGCAGCTGTTAGCCAAATTTTTGTGGTAACTTGGAACTGATAAAGGAGGCAGCTTCTAATTAGTACAGAGTGTGCTTATCTTTTTCTGTTTAAAGTGTCAAATTGTTTCATTACCACAAAACAGAAAAATACTTTGATGTAGAAAATACATTTTAACTCTTCATTGCCCTTTAGGATTTTCAGAAGTATGGCACAAGTAATAATGAGAAAACGTACAATGCCACTTACTGGAGCATTAATGAAATATAGAATATGACATTAGAATAATTTCAGAGAAAAAAATAATGTGATATTTTTTCAGACATTATAAAGTTCCATGAAAATTATGCTAACACAGGTAATTGAAATAACTTCACTGAAATTATTTTAATATAATTTTCTGCCAGATTTTTTGACCCATTAATCTTTTGCAAGCAACACTACTCTTACTCCAAGCTGTTGATGGGCATATTGGGAATGCACTGTCCTATGAATCTGAACGCTCATTTATGGAGCCATGCTGAATTAAAGTACATTTTCTTCACTATCAAGACAGAGATTGTAACTGATACCATGACTTATCCATCAGTTACAGAGTCTAACAGAAGTTTCCTTCTGGCTGAAGGGCAGGTTACATTTAGACTCAGGTAACAGACCATAAATAGGAAATCCATTTTCAAACATCATTGTCATCATTTAAGTAGACATTTAAGTAGAACAGCATTCAGGTCTCCAGTTTCTAAGGTGATCACATGAAAAAAACAGTTGTACTGAAGCACACAAAGGTCTAAAAATCTCTTCTCTCTCTCAGCAGGCTGTAAGGTAACACATCTCCCTTCACCCATCCTATGTCTTTGTTGATTGTTTTATTGATCAGTGTTTTCTAAAAAACTGATAAACATCTATGGAAGATGGAACTACTAAACACACTGTTTCCAAAAGACATTTAACAAAATACTTCTTTAAATAGTCAAAAAAATCCTAAATATATGGCCATGGAAACACAACATCTCTCATGTTGAAAAATAACTGTCTAAATGACAGAAAACAAGTGAATAAAACCATGAGTAGAGTGAGCACTGACATTCAGTATTTAAAGCAGAATTTAACAAGCTGATAAATGCAAGGAATAGAGAGGTGACTAAATTTGCTGGCATCACTAGGCTGTGAGAGCTATAGAGGAGAATTTATGAGAGAAGTTAAATGAACCTATAACAGAGAATGACCAGATAAAAGAACTGAAACTCAGTGCAATTAAGTTTGATACCTGTGGTACAAAAAACCCCAAATTTGTATTGATAGCAATGACGTTTAAGCATTAGGATTTTAGGCTTTGGTGAAAATGCTCAGTATGCTCAGTAACAACTATAAAGCAAACAAAAATCACAGAATTACTCGGAACGAAAGAGAACAACATTTGTTTTATTCTACGACTTTGCACTTACCCCTTGTTCATCCAACTTCATTAGCTGCTCTGTAACTTTAGGAGTGTTGAAGGCCAGTCTGAGGCAGTGGATGTTCAGCTCAGGAACCACATACTCCAGCACTTCTTTCAGGGGAAGTCCTCTGGCTGTGCAATGCTTGGCAGTTGAAGGGATAGCATCTTCCAGCACAGAGCCTCGTAGCGTCATAAGCTGAAGGAACAAAAATACTTTATATATAGGCATATCCACAGAGAAAGAAGAGAGGACTCAGGGGACCTTATCGATATTGATAAATATCTGATGGGAGGATGTAAAGCAGAGGCAAACTCCTCACAGTGGTCCCCAAAGACAGGACAGCAAGCAACAGACACTAGCTGCAAACCAGGAAATTCCACCTGAACATCAGGAAATACTTCCTTACTGTGAGGCTGGCTCAACAGTGGAGCAGCAGGTTGCTCAGAGAGGGTGTAGAGCCTCCATCCTTGGAGATACTCAAACGTGGACATTGTCCTAGGCAACCTGCTGGAGCTGACCTTGCTGGAGCAGCCAGGCTGCACCGTAAAATCACCTTAAGCAGCTTTTTAGAAACTGCTGTTCCTTGGCTATGGCACTGTGTGTCACTGCATATGGGCAGGCATCTTTAACATATGGCAGCAGTCACACTTATTACATAAATCATGCAATAAATGATTATCAGGTATGTTCAACTTCTTCAGTGTCAGTATCACTATGCACAAAGGAAGAAAAAAAGTGAAAAAGAAAAAGAAGGAAAGACGACCAATAGGGAATATATTTACCAACTCCACAATAGCAGTATTCAGTCCTTTCTCCTTAAGTAATTTTAGCTAACAGCTAACGACAAACAGTAAATAGAACAAGAAACAAATTACTGTATTCCTCAATTTACTCAAACCTCAAATGAGTACTTTGAATCTATACATTGGCTAATAAATATTCTTACAAAAGTAACTCAATTCAGGTTTTAATGAAGCAAGAAAAACTGAATAAAAAACACCTGGTAGAGCTGTTTCCATCAAACAGCATGGAAAAACAATAGCAACAAATAAACATTTTTACACTTCAAAGTTTTTGTCAACTCCTACACTATTTTCCTTCAAGAAAGACAAAACAAAAAAGATTCCCTCTAAGGTAGATAAGTAACACAAATGAAGTGCTTCACTTCTAGGTATAAACAGCACATACTTCCAGAAATGTCCTCTTAAGAATTGCTAAAATCTTGGATTTTATTTTTAATCGAATCTGAGCAAAAATGTGACAAAAGAACGTGTTAGCCTTACTGCAATTCAGACTAAACGTTGTATCTATTCATAGAAAGGGGCTGTAATTCAGAACTTTTCACATGTCATAGCTAACATAATTCAGCTCTAGCCTAGACATAACACAATGAGGAAAAGGGGAAGAATTTATTCTGCCTCCTCTTTTGAATTTTATTTGGTGATTTAGACATTCTTTGCTAAAAACTAGACAGTAGCCAAAAAAAGCCATTCTGCATATAGGATGTAACAGAACAGCTTCTGCAATACTAACCAGACAGATTTAAATTAGCAATAACATTCAGAAACGCCTCAGTCCATTTTTTTTGTTTTTTTTCTTCCTCCCCTCAGTCCATGCAAGGGACATAAGCACAAAAAAAAGCAAAAGACATTTTCCCCCAATCAGTTATTCTTTGCTAGTGATCAAAACTAAATAGAGACAAGAGATTTTTGCTCACAATAAAAAAACAGTCATGCTAGAATTAATAACAAAGAAACACAACTTCGAAGTAGACTTCTACTCTCTTAGACATAAAAAGTGCCTACTTTTCAGTAAAGCTCAGGGTAGTCTGCTAACCTCATTTCAGTTGTTTGTTTAGCAGACTTTTTATTTAAGCAGAGCACAGTTATTCCCTCAAATGCGCTTAACTCAAAAAATTATGTGAAAGTTTCAATGGCTTTTCAAACTGTGTGCAAAAATGCCAACTAAGCAAGAAGCTGCTGGAAAAAAAAGCAGGAAAAATATGTTTTAATCACTTTGCTCTTGGCAGAGACAGAGCAGCACTCACCTAGCAAATAGTAGTTACTACATGATGCCTAAATCTCAATCAGAAACAGTTTGAACTGTATCTGCAGGGATAGAAAAAAGCCCTTTAAGAGTATCACCCTCTGTAACTGATGAGACTCTTCGAAGAATCATTTATTTGAAAAAGAAGTATTTATAGAGGAGACCGGTACCACTTCACTGACGTAAGTGAAGGCAGTCACTTGTTTCAGGTTGCATCTTTGCTTCTCAAGACTTTCACCAGCAAGAGAAGTTTACAAAGAGGGAGAAGACAGCAGCAGCAGCAGCCATGTGAGCACAAGCACAATACTCTTAACAGCTGCTAAATATCCCTACTTTCTGATGCTCAGTTTTGTAGACTAGCAGTCTATTAACTTTATAAGAGTCTGGACATTTTCACTATAGTGGCTGCTATTCTAGGTAGAAATGTAAATAGGCGGAAATTTATAGAGGAATTTTGCTAAAAGCTGCACTGATATTTGGCATATTGTCTTGAATAGAATGAGAAAAAAGTGGGTATGAATTTTTTCAGCTCAAAGGTAGAACATATGCCTCCATTTTATTTCACTTAAAGAAATAAAAATAAAGAGACACAAGATCCCACTAGTAAATGTAGGAACTGAAGGGAAAAAACAGCAAAATTCAAGCTGAGTGAAAAGGTTCCACTTGCAATTTCTCATACCTCTTCCGCTTGGAGGTAACCATAAATGTCTGTCTCTAGAAGCCCTGATTTCTGCCATTCTCCTGTTGATTTCCAGTGCAGGACTCCAAAGTTCTTCCCTCCCATCTACCCACTGCCATACATGACACTGGGTGAAGTAATTCTCCCCTCTTTTGCTTGCTTACATTTAATAAAGCTCCAGTAAATTTTTCAAAGTTTAACCTAAACTATTCCCCCTCTCACACACACACACTTTCCTTCTGTGTTGTTATGGAATAGTTCATTGATATCCTTGTCTACTCTGATTTGCTGTAAATATATTGCATTTTTGATCAGGAGATTGCTGGATAGTATTTATAAAGTCCAGATGGAAATCTGTTGACAATGAAAACCCACCAACTCCACACACAGCATTGGATTTTCTCTGCTCACTGGTAGCTTCTTTATTACTTCCCTATATCACTTACCTCGCTGGTTCGGAATATGATCCGGTAGTTGTACTGAGGTCCATTTTCTTTGATTTCTTCTGGTTTTTCTCTTCTTATGCTCACTGCTACTGGACCCAGGTTCTCATCTGCCCCAAAATAGTTCCAGTGTTCTGGGGTTTAAAACAAGAACAAAACAGTCCATCTTACTCTTTGCATAGCAACTGTATTGTCATGCTTAATTGCTATACTAGAAATTAATTTCTGACTCCACTAGCGATAATAGAAACATGCCTTCAGTGGTACCAGAATTTTGTTCTTGTTCTTCAATTTTCTCAAGGAGCATCATTTACACAGGTTGACTGAAATTCAACATTGGTTCTTCTTTTAAAGGACAAAAATAGGATACACTGCCTCTTGCAACAAAATCAATTTCACCTAAGCTAAATACAGCCCATTTCCCCTCGTTAAAAATAAAAAAAAAAAAAAAGAGAAAGCCAAAATACCCCTGAGAAATTCAGCAGTCAGGATATTAAAATGTGAACAACAGACAACTGTACTAAACAAAGGCCGAAAATCAATTTTGTTATGGAAAAAGCAAAGAACATACAAGTCACATGTTTGTCACTCAATTCCAAAAGGTAGAAAAAAATGAGGAAGCTGAAAAGGGGCATGAAAACTTGGTTATAGCAAATCTAAAATTATAACTACAATAAGGTTAAAAAAAAAAAGCAAGAAACAGACCAGTTTGCTAAATTATTTAGAAGGGAAGTACTGAACAATAATGCTAAAACTAAATTTAAAATGCTAAGAGTTGAGTTTAAAATAAGGAAAGTTGTCGAGGTGGCAGAGAGGGAGCGAGGGCTGGAAAAACTGCTCACTATGAACAGGAGGTCACCTGGGAGCTTCAGCTCGACTGAGAGCTATGAAAGGAGGTGGCCCCTGTGAATAAGCACAATCCAAAGGACTGCTTCCAGATAGGAAAGATTAGATTTTTTTGACCTATATACTCTTAAAAAAAAAAAATCACCTCTGAGCTATTCCCAATTAGCTTCCTTTACAGTCCACAGAGATCAACTCAGTAGTCACTGAACTCTAGGATGAGATGAACTGTGCCCTGAAGTAAGAGCCACCAGCCCGTGGGCAGAGATGATGAACCCTAGAAGCACACGGTGCTGCCCACAGAGCATAAAGGCAGCCCTAGGTGATGAGTAATGAGGTAAAGGACACAGTGCAAACCTCTAAAGATGAATCCTGCTGAAAGAGCTTCTGAGAAGCCACCAGCAGCTGCTTCCAAATGAGAAACTCATTTGTCCTACGTGAGAATTCACCTCTCTGATGCAGACTGCATGGGAACCACTACTGCTGGGGAACACCACTGGATCCTGCTTTGCTTGGGGGTTTTGTTCTCAGTTTGAACTTTGTCCTGCTACTTGCATCTTTACCAGCTGTTGATAATGAATTCTGAAGCCATTTAACAGCACTTCTGATAAGGTTTGTCCTTATTGTCTAAGCGAATTCTCAGTTCACCATCCCTGCGCTCTATCTCCCAGCAATAAAACAGACACGTCAAGGGAGGGAAGAGGAACCTCATAATTCATGAGTTAAATGCAGACTGTGAAAAAATACAGCAATTCTTTAAAAAATATTGCTAAAAATATCTATGAAAATTTAAGTAATGAAAATACTGTAAGTAATGAAACAAAGCAATTTATCCATATTTGCAAAGAATATACATGCGGGTTATGATTAATGCATCTTGGCTCAGGTAGCAGTGGAAGCTAGAAATTAAGGTAAACAAAACTTAATTTATTAACCTTAGAATGGATATTAAGTGTTTTATGAATTAAAAGAAGGGCTGTTTTACAACTGGATTCAATAATTTTATTCCAAAAATAAAGAAAGCTTTTTTTTTTTTTTTAATCACACAAAAACTCATTGGAGGTAATACTTCCAAAGCTTGTGATTATTTCATATAAACTACCATTAAAAAACAACACATTTTTTTAAAAAAATTTGTACCTAAAATAAAGTCTGCTGCATAAACATAGGTACACAAATTAGAAGATCTTTTCCTGGATATTGAATTTATAAGCACAATACGGGAAAGGGAAGCAGTCCTCCTGAAACAAAAAGGACAGCTCAGTGCTATAATGTCTTTTACAGTCTAATCCTGAACAAGCAAAGCACTAAAGCTTGCTGAGGGAATTTTATATTCGGCAGATACTTAAATTGTACTGATCCGGGGAAAGAAAATGCAGTTATATAAAGGACTAAAGCAAAGTTTTTTGCATTATCTGCCAACAGTTTAAGCAAAGCTAACATAAAACCCATTCTCATTCTAAAAGCAGCTCAGGAAAGCAGTAACTTCTCAGAGAAGTCAATCCTTCCAGACCACCAACTCCAAACTGCCCACAGGGGCAGCAAGACTGGTGGCTGCTGCTTGATGCTGAGCTAAACTAAACTGATGCTCTTGGTTCAGCCCGTGGAAACTGTCATTCCAAAATCCTTAAGGAACTCGATGGGCAAAGAGAACAGCCTGTTCTTCTGGATGTACAGGCAGCCTTTTCTAAGCGATGTTTAGACAAGGTGATAAAAATGAGTGTTTCCATCCATATGGTTGTTTTATTGATGAATTGTCTTTCATTTGAATTTATAAGTAGGCAAATAAATGGTTCTCCTTGAAAAAAGGCTTGATATATCACTGGTAATTAATTCATTATTCACTAAGAATGTTTTTGAACTGAAATGCCTGAAATGGAAGGTGGACAGAGAAATGACTGCAAAGGAAACAAAGTTGGAGAAGTTAAATATATCTCCACTGTATTTTAGATGGCCTTAACTTCTCCAACTTTGTTTCCTGTAGGAAACATTAAAATAAAATATGGAGTTTCAAGCTAGATTACCCTGCACCAGTTTTAGATTAAGCCTATCTCTTGATTTAAAAGTCCATCAATTATGGTATTGGTCCTGACTACCAAAAACCAGAATGTTTTATGCAACCTACATTTAAAGTGGAGATGATGTCAAAAATGAGTACTACTACAAAGGAAATTAAGAAACTGGCTAAAACACAAAAAGGTTTAGGTGCAGGAAAAAAAAGTGTTGATGAGATCAGGGCCTGGCCTTGGAACTGATCTTGCTCAATACCTTTTATGATAAGGTGAGCATGAGAAGGAAGAATGTGCTCATGCTAAAGATTGGCACATCAGCCAAGAACAACTGGATGGCCAAAGACAAGGAGAGTAAAGGCAGCACAAATCACTTCATGCACTTACAGGCCAATATAAAGAAATTCTCCAACAGACAGATGGCATATGGATATACAAGTTAGTCATAGGATGACTGTGAGAAAATAAAGTATTGCAGACATCAAAACCAGAAAGACATTTTCACAATTTTCTGATCAACCAGCTGACGATTCTGAGCGGGTGGTTCTACTGCAACTGCACAAACATTACCAGACTTCATCCACAACACATTTACAACCTGGTGCCCACGGTGAGAAGAGAAATTCAGCCCAGAGGCTGCCGCAGGGAAAGCCTGCAACCATCACATACGAAATGAAAAGACCCTAACAGCAGAAGAGACCCGAGGGAGCCAGCCCTGCCAAGCAAAACGAAGCGTTCAAGAAATACGACTGCTCTGGGGACAGGTGGGTAAAGCAGAGAGAAATGTGTTCAGATTTAAGAGGAGCATTCTCAAAGAACAAACAGATAAATCGGTCATAAATACATCTAGGCTGGAAACAAGACAGTACCTAATTATCAAAGAAAATTAAGCTTTGAAATGGTTTTGCAGTAGTGGTACAGAGAAGTGACCTAAGTGCTTTTAAAAACACACTCTGATCCATTTATGGATGAATTCTGTGATGAAGCTTCCTGTGGCAACACAGGCTGGGACGGACACTTGGACACTGTGTCCTCTCCATCCTCTGCACCTCTCCATAGCTTGATGAGATCAATGAATCAAACTCCAAGCGGTCAAGACTTTGCAAAAACATTCTGGGAAATATAAAGTCACTTCAAAATATACAGATGCCATTTTGAATGTCAATTATTAGCATCTATATTCTCTCAAACACCTCTGTGAGGTCCCATTTCTACTATCCATAAACTACACTTTAGCCTTACTTGGCACTTTTCCTCGGAAGCGGACAGTAACCATACATCTGTTTCCTACCATAAAGTGAGAACCAGTTACAGGCAAATGCACAGCTTTTCTTGTGTGCATATCTGCATACACTCAGGCAAACCAACGTGCTCAAGCAAGCTATTTTCAGTGTGGTTAGCTGCACATATTTTTCTTTTACACCTGATGTGCCATTTGGATGATTAGGTTAAAAATTATTCACAGGGCAGCTGCTGGTCACGTACCAATGCAACAACCTGGAAGTCAAATAATCACCACAGGTATTGGGACTTGAACGCTTTCCAGAGACAGTAAATAGCTACCGTAGAGGAAAAATAATTCCATTATATTATGTAATGGAAAAAGCTGCCCAATTTCCAAAGCATTAGTGGCACAGAGCTCAATGGATGAACAAGATGGGAAGATTTTTAAATAAAGGCATAATTTGTATATGCTTCCTAATGGTGGCTACATCTAACCTGCAAAGCTATTATCTTAAATGGATATATTCTCTATATAAATAAAAATCACGCATAAAAATTAAATAATTTCTAAAAGGGCTTTTTACACATTGAAGATAATGTTCTTGTGTTGGTAAGCATGCACTGATAGGTCTTTCCTACAGCAAAAAATCTTAGAGAAAAAACTTCTCATGTTTTAATAAAAGATCTTGCCAGTTATAGAATAATCCAGCCCTGAATCAATATCAGGTATTTCTGACACCAGAACTGTTGCAGAAAATAATAATGAAAAATAAATATCAAAAAAAAAAAAATTGTTTGGAAACTGAGTCCCTTCTTTGGGGCTTTTCTTCATCTCGGGAGTAACAACCTGAGGAAATGGGATCAATTTTTAAGTTTCTGTAGAACCTTTAGCCTAAAACAAAAATTATCTTTATTGTGATGCACTGTCAAGATTCTGTCAAAAGCTGCATTATAAAAATGTACCAGGTATAAATTTTCAACTCAAGGGGTCAGCCAAGAAAAAATTAAAACTAATTTTTTAAAATCCACATGCTCTGGAAATACTCATTCCTATTCTTTTCCAAAACATTTTTAAGCTATACATCAGTGCTGATATTCTCCTCTCTTCACACGCCTCTTTTCTTTGCATTCCTTGTAAGTGAGGGAGCAACTAGGTCAGGCGCTGAGGATGAAACAAAAACAGTGTGTCACTGATAAAGGATGGTCAAAAATCAGGAATTACTAAGAGAAAACCTCAGGACACTGTTATGCCACTGTGCAAACCTGTGCTGGTGGCGTGCCTGTATCTTTAATACTATGCACAGTTCTCCACTCTCAACCTGCAAAAGGTTCAGAGGACTAGCAAAACACGATTGTAGAAGATAACGTGCTTGAGGCTTACAAAAACAAACAGCAAGGAAGGGCAAAAAGGAGGAAAAGGAGCATTTTTAAACCAGCAGTGCTACTATTTCCTGTGAGGACCCTCCCGGTCACACTGGAAGACAGTGATCACAGGAGGTTGCTCTTCACAGCTAGTGCACATCTGAACTCCTGGCTGCCATAGTATCCTGAGCACTAACAGTTTACATGGGTAACAGCAAGTCCAAAGACTACTAAATATAAATGATACTATCCCTAGGCTAGGAAGTCCAAGAGAATCACAGAATCATAGAATCCTTAAGGTTGGAAGGGACCTCTGGAGATCATCTAGCCCAGCTCCCTTGTACATGCAGGGTCACCTGGAACACATGGCATGGGGCTGCGTTTGAAGATCTACAGAGAAGGAGACTCCACAACCTCTCCAGGCAGCCTGTTCCAGGGCTCTGTCACCCTCAGTGTCAAGAAATCTTTCCTTATGTTCCTAGGGAACTTTTGGTGCTTCAGTTTGTGGCCTTTTCCTCTAGTCCTATCAGTGGTCACCACTGAGAAGAGGCCCTCCTCCTCAAACCCTCCCTTGAGGTATTTATACACACTGCCCAGATCCCCCCTCACCTGGGACAGAATACCTGGGAGGTGGGATCTCATGCTTGTCCTATTCTCACCCTTCCTCGAGCATCCGTTGCAGACCCGCTGTCAGAAAACAGGGCTAGAGGAAGCTCCAAAATGACTTAAAGACTGTTCTGGTCTTTGGAGACCACGGGTGTGGTTTTATGCCCAGAAGCAGTCACTTTTTTTTTTTTTTTTTTTTTTTTCTTTTGTATCTGAGTGTTGCAGCTAATAGGAAGGAATTAATTGGAGGGGTGGGGAGAGGCTGCAAAGCTCTGTGCTCGTGCGAGAGTCTCGCATGCCCACATGCTAAGACCTCTCTTTTCAACACTTCAGTAAAAAGGGCTGAACAAGCTGATGTTCCCCCTTCGTGCCATGAAATGCTTCCCATAACTGAAGGCAATCGGCTGCCTTAATGTGCATTTTCTCAGGGAGGTTAATTACAAAAGCTTATTCCCATCACAACCATGAGACAAATCAGAAGGTCATGGAGCTCAACAAGGAAGGCAGCACGCAGGCCAGAAACAAAGCCTCGGTCCAGGCACTGAAGGGCTGGCTTGGTGATGCCTCCCCCGCTTGCAACACGACTACTTACGCTCAGGGCCATCGTACAGAAGAGATGCAAGAACTTCCAACCTGCTGTCATTCTGATTAATTCTAGGAATATCATATTTAGGGAATAAATCTTTTATTTCAGTAATTGTCTTTTTTTTTCCTCTTTACTTTTCAACTCACTTCTAAACATTTTTAATTACTAATTGTCTTATATTCATCTATTTTGGCAAGTATTCCAACTTCATTCCAGAGTGCCCAGAAACATGTGCTTGGCCATACACCAAGCAGCAGGAGCTGAAAGAGCACATTCATAGGGGTGCAAAGGAGCAATCATGCTGACACGGCACCAAAGCTAACCTTACTCTTCTCACACCAATATGACACTCTGTAAATACAGCCAACTTCTCCAATAAAGAATTGGTCTCCAATAAATATCAAGTAGTTTGAATATGAGTACAGTGAAATCTAAAATGGGTCTCAGTGCACAAGAAAATCATTGCTCCTTATCTCCAATCCCATTCCATCCACATACTGACACCTCTATATTTGGTTACGCATCACCAACAGCCTTAGGACTAGATCACACAGATCTTATCTAATTCATCCTAACGGTTAGCTAAATCAAAGACAGAAAATTGCTGCTGCCTAGGGACTAAAATCCCACTCGCACCTCTTTCTGGTTCCACTGGGTGCCTTCATTGCTCACCTGCCACTAGATTTTGGCACTTCCCTGATTGCAAGGGAAGCTGCTTTGACTCACTGAAATTTAAGAAAAACATACAAGCAATATAAAAATAATGAAATGAATTGTGATGACAAGATTTCTGCTTGGTTAGCAAACTGAATCAGCCTGCCATGTGACCAGAAAACAACAGAATTGGTACAAGGAAAGGAGGAATAGGTCTTCCCATTTTTGCTGTAGAAATGCTGTTAAATCAAGTCAGCTGTAGAAAGAAACGGACCCTTTAGTTACTGATTGCACAACTCAGGAGAGCAATAAGGAATCATATCCTTCCAAAGCGAGAGATATTGGAAGGTAATTGCAGCCAGAGCTGGAGGTCTCAGGCTCTCTCCTCCAAACAGAACTCACCTTATGCCGTGCAAAAGAATTCATTTTTGTTTCCCCAGGCTCTTCTCTAAGCAATTATCGTGGGGGGAATTCAAAAGCACAGGCTACCTCCCGGTCCTAAACTATCACAAAACAGAAGATAATGGGAAAGTAACAAGAACCTCTCAACCAAGGGATGCTGTAGGAAGAGGAGAGAGACCTGCTTCAAGGTCACACACTGTAAGGGAAAAGCAGGAGATGAGGGTCTAAGCTGTAACCCACAGCTCTGTCTAGATCTGACAAATTAGATTTTTTTTTCCTCAGATGATGGCTGCAATAAAAGTCAGGAAGAAAGTCTTCATGTTAAAAATATACAAGGGTTCATTTGCTTTTAATAGCTTAAAATTTTTGAAGAATATTGCAAATGACATCTAAGTTTCCAAGCTGCACTTTTCCACTAAATCCTTAGTGACTCAGCTCTTTATGTAGAGCAAAAAAGAGTCATATTTTAATGCTTAACAAACAAAACAAACCTGCAAAACTTTCAAACGTCAAAAACCCCCCTCTTTCCCCAAAGTGGATGCCAAAATTGCATTTCAAGACAAATATATTTTATAGTTGTTGCTAACCATTCATTGTATAACGATACCACAATAATTTTTTTCCTCCTTAAGACAGTGACCAGTTCTACTAAGCACAGCGTGCACTGGTTCAAGGAGCAAATGGGCAAAATAAGGTGGTCAAGTACTGATGGTAAGAAACATATAATATACACAAATATTACCATTACATGTCAACTAAGTTTATAATTTTGTCAGAAAAGGATCGGTAGAATGGGGAGAAACAGATCTACTTACCCTTCTGGTAGAAGAATTTGCGATAATAATATGCACCAAGGTCTACATGTTCAACAATGTATCGCTTCACTCTGTCTAGATGTAAGATCAGATTCTCCTTGGGAACTTCTAGAACTGCTACTCCAGCGTTTGTGCAATGAGAACTCAGGGTGGACTCAAACGAGGCACTTTCACATCCACTGAAGGAACCTGAATTAGATTTGGAAAGGCTGATCTTCCTCTCCCCTTCCCCACCAATCTCGTTACGAAAATAAGGGCAACTCATCACAAGTTCATTGCTTTTATCATCCCCCTGGTCCATATTGAGGCTTCCTTTGGAATTCAGATCTTCGGTGCTGCCCATTGGAGAATTGAAACTTGCAGAATGGGACAAGGGTCCAGACACAAGCGATGCTACAGCAGCAGCAGATGCCCCTGTCGTCGTGTTCCTTCTTTTAATAACATTATGCCTGTTGATCGCGGCTTCGTTCAAATCAAACAATATGCTCTGCACATCATAGTGGGCAAAGCACTTGGGGCAAGTCCAAGGCTTGACACTATCTTCGGACCTGTTATCTTCAAGATCCGAAGACTTCCCGAGCTCCCCTTCGCCTTTGGCGTTGCGCAGCTTACGAAAAATGGACGAATCTCCCGTCTCGGATTTTGAGCGTCTCTTAAGTGGCTTCTCCCTTTCCTTGAAGAGTCTCAGGTTCTCCCTTTGCGTAATAGGCCCGTCTATCACATCCAGAGAGAACCCCGAACCCTTGCTTCCACTGGCAATCAGGAGTTCGCTGAGCTTAGTCGTGGCTGGGCTTCTCTGATCAGATTTTTCATCTTTATAGCCCTTCAGTAGGTCAAAAAAACTCTCCCCTGAAGTTCCCTGCTTATCTATTGAAGAGGTGCTGCCATATTCCCTGTGCAGGGATGGGCCAGATTTAAAGGTAGGTGAGATACATTCATCGAAACTGTCCACATCAAGCTCACTTATGGTAATGTCACTGTTACTGCGCTGCCTTATTCTGCGAAGAGCTTTCCTAGGAGAATTGGGGTAGCCATCAGGTGTAAGAAACCTGGAATCGAGGTTCTCGGATTGTCTGGTCTTGCTTTTGAGCGTGTTCTGGATGCTCTTTAGCATGACGGAATCACTAGCATTCAGGTTCACAGAGCTTCCCTGGCTCCCAGGGCTGCTTTTAGAAGACATGCTGTCAAGGCAACTCGTTGCATCAATATCTTGACTAGACCTACTTGTGTCCTTGATGTTGTCCTTCCTCGGGGGCCAGTCAGCAATCCTTGCCCTGACCCCCATTTTAGGGACTCCGGGAGTCGAGGTAACGTGATGGGAACTTTCATTGCGAGGAGGTCCAACCGGAGCCATGACTGCAGAGCCTAAGCTACCATTCTGTGACCTAAAGCGTCTCATATAGAAGTCATCCGAGTGGACTTTCGAGGTGCCATCTGTTCCAACTGCTACCCCAGTGGCAACAGCCCTTTCAGTCTGGGACCGCTTCAAGCTGGTCATGATCTTTCGGTGTGTTGGGCCTTAGTAAGTTCCAAAAGAAAATACAGTCATTTCTGCTTTTTAAATAGACAGTTCTCTTTTGGAGAAGGGTCTCCAAAATATGCAATGGTTGCATGAGATCTTAATCGTGGACATTTAAGGATAGTTAAATGTAAATATCAAGAAAATTCAGATATTCAGGAGGATTTGATGACCAGGAATTTCCTTTAACTTTAGCATTTTAAGGAGTGGCCATGCTCCAATATCTTCAAATTGTTTAAGCATCCCTTGTACTCCAAAACATCGAAGTTATAGTCCAATAATACAGTCTGCTTCTTTTAAATCTAGAATAGACAAAAAGACAAATAAAGGCATTAATCATTTTATATAACTTTGCTTCATAACTGATGCTATCAAAGTAATTAAGACTTCTGGCAAACACACTTTTAAATCTCATTGACCATTATCTCACGAATGCAGTGTAACCATGGGAAAGAAGCTCCCAGATTCTGTTTGTTGATTTGCCTTTGGAAAAATGTTTTTACATTTGGATTCCACACCTACATACAAACTTCACCTTATGAACTGAGTGGTGAGAGGTTTTAGTTTAGTTTGCAGAGAGTTTTGCAAATCAGGAGGACAGAGCACATTTCTACAACTGAAGGACACCTGAGTAATTTACTATATCAGCAATAGTTAGCCAAATCAGGAGCCTGACATTCCTAAAGACTTCAAAAGCACTACGTAGCACGGTCTTGGATGCTCTTAGGTATTAACTATGCCTCTTCCAATTTTCCATCAAGTTGAAAAAGAGAAATGCTAACCAAAAAAGAGGTCAAGTGGCAGAGAGATCAAATTTTCCATCAAGTTAAATAAGAGAAATGCTAACTGAAAAGAAGCCAACTGGCACAAAGATGACAAAATGATAGCAGAGATCATGGCTGTTGATAGCACTCTCCATTTTGCACAGTCTTATTTGCAAATCATCCGAATGCTACAGAAACCATGCATCCCCTCACTACACATTTCACACCGTAAACAAACCCAAAATAAACAGAATCACACTCAAGTGAATGCAACATTTGATACCAAGTTATTTCCCTTGTTAAGGGGATACAGTTTGTCTGCAATTCATTGCTACAAAGCCACAGAAATTAAGTGCTTCGCCAAAGCATTTGGCACACCCAACCTTTACAATATCATTTGAAGAGCTACAACTAAAAATAAATAATTCTACAGATATACTATATTCGGTAGAAGACAAAAACCACAAGACTGTCAGGAAAATCCTGCCCTACCACCTACAGCCTTTAACACAAAGAAGTTCGCAGCTTTCAAGGGCTGCACAGATTACACAAAACATGGCCTTTAAAAACTTGCCAAACGTGCAGGGAAATGCTGCTGAACAAGCACCCCAAGAGCCCCACACTGCACAATTCAGAATCATCGACAAATCCAGGCTTTCTAATGCTCACAGGAAAACTGTTACTTTCCATAGTCTCTTCTCAAAACTACAGCGTCCCTTCCTCCACAAAAACCGAGGACCAAGGCAGAATATTTCTGTCCCCAAAGGCAGCAAGTTTAACCTCACTTGCCATAGACAACGCTGCTTTGAAATAGCAGCTGCTATTTATATAAAGTTGAACGCTTAAGGAATATTTAAAACACAAGCTGCATGCATTAGAGATGACAAAACCAGTACAAACAATCCACGGTTACTCTGTTTGTACAGCTGTTTACATAAGTATTTTCCTTATAAGACTGCTGCACCAATACTGTCAAAAAAATAAACATATTTTCCTACCTAAAGGGTAATTTTAAAAGGTTGTCCAGGCATCTAACTGTTGCAAGAGTCCTATATTTAGGGCTTTATTAATTAATATTTTTAACGTTGTATGCACTTCTAACACTTTTCTGGTTGAGAGCTAATTAAGCTGATGACCTGTGTGTACAAACCGGATCAGGGAGCGCAAGAAGCAAACACCACATTGCTCTGATGGACACTTTTCAGCCACGGTGCAGCCGAGCAGCCCTCGCCCACGAAGCTCCAGGGGATGGGAACACTGGGGAGTCATTGCCAAAGAGTTTCTTATTTTTAGAGAAAGGAAGGAAAAACGACAACACCAAAACCCACAACGATACAGCGCAGGGCAAAAACAGGCTGAAAGAAACAAAAAGGTGGGAGACAATTTGCCTAGTAATTCATGAAATGTAAGTGCTCTGGGGAACTTGCTCCTGACCTGCTGTACATGCAGTACAGCCATTAGTTCTACAGCCTCACACTGCCTTTTCCAAAGGAAGTATTTCTCCTGCTCCTCAGCATCACGGATGGATTACACTAAGAACCAGCTGTTTCATGTTCTGCAGTTTTCCATAAGCGTCTTTCTTCATCTGCTGGGGCAGCTGGAATACAGATACTAAGTGATTAAAGTCACATTTAGTATTTTATTCTGATGAGAACTGAATTCTTCCCTTGCCTGGGTCTAGTTGATATGAATCAAATCACCTAAAGCAAAGTTCTTCAGAGAGAAGCGAGCTGCCTGCTGTTCTTCTGTTCCTGTGCAAATTTCTGAATGACCTTTATGCTTTCTAACTTAGTATTTCAATTTTCTCTTTAATAACTGCTTTTTAATCTGGTTTAAACTTTGTTACTTCAATTCTACTCTGCCTATATATTTCCCATACAATCTTCAATGAGGTTTTCTTTTCTTTTTGATCTTTTTATTTATTTATTTACTTATCTTTTAAACCTGAGCATCTTCTACCTAGCAAGGATTTACTAGATACTCTGTTCCCTGCTAGAGACACACTGGGATTTTAGACAGTCACATTGTGGATCCTCACGATTCTAATTTTCTGCTGTTGGCAGAGATTGATTTTTCAGCATCAAATTATTTATGGGTGATAATGTTCCAGAGGAAAGACTTCATATTTTGGCATCGGTCCTCATTAACAAATGTCACTTTATCATTAAGAGTTTGGGAATGGGGAATCTGCTTTCTAAATTCCAAAAAGTCTCGGGAAAATATAATAATGAGGATGGTAATACAACATTACCAGGTTTATTCTAAAATATTCCTTATTTTAGGACAGGAAGTCCAGAATTGCATTAAATCAAGTAGCTATCAGTCATCAAGTAAAATCACCTCTATTCTTAATGGTTACTGAAATTTAGTCCACTTGGGAAATTATGCAACTATATAACATATGTTATGTCAGTAACCCTTGCTAACTTTTCCTAGTAGAACTTATACAACCATAAAAGCTGAAAACTGGCAGCTTCTCTGCCAACAGAAAAGGGAAAAAAAAGGAAAAACCTTCAGCTGTTTGTATCAGAAATTCTTACCTGAATTGTAACACAGAACAAAATTCTAGGACGAAAATACTCATGTATCAGCCAATTGAGTTATTATGTAAGCAGAAAATAATGTCTAATTTCATAAAATGAATTTCTCAGAGGAGAAAATCAATTTAATCATTAGAACTACTTGAGCTTTATATGGTTAGCTATTAACTTGATCTTTTTCTTTCTGAAATTAACTTCATCATTATAATCAAAGACAAGTTGAAAGGTTCCTCATTCAGGGGAAGTTTTCACGAGCTGAAAGGCTATTAGTAGAACTACGTTTGATACTTTACCAGCTTCTCAGCTTTAATTTTGTTATGTTCTGAAGAATTGTTGGGTTTTGTCTATGATAACAGGACTCATGAAAGATGCCAGAGCTGCACAGAGTGCAGGATAGAGTCCCCTGAGTGTTTTATCAAGGCATCTTTGTCTACTTCCACCCAGATTTATGTTGCTCTGTGAAAATTTGCCACCTATTTACATGTAATCGTGCATTTCTACCTCTTTCTGCAAATGATTCACTGTTCCCTAACCCTAGAAAGAGAACACTTGTACTCAGAAGATGCAGTGTTATCTGCTGCAATTACTTGTGCTGATCTGTTGGGCTTTACCATTTAAATTTCCCTGATGTGCCGTACTTTAAAACACAAGAATGTTCTATTTAACCCACGCTAGGTTAAAACCATTTTTAAGATTTAGTAGTAATTGGTTTGAAAACACTATACAGATGTTACTGGCCAGTCATACTCACCATCAGTTGCAGGGACACAGTGTTTGGGACATGTCAGGATGGTACATAAGACATTCCAAAAGGTGTGTGAACACACACAGGAAGGAAGTGCTAGGGATCCTCGATTAGAATTAGAGCACATTCTTGCTCAATTGCCATTTCCACTCATAATTCCATCATTCCATCATTCTTGACTTAAACACTGGAATATCTCAAGCCAGAATTATATCCCACTTCTCTGCATCAATTCTGCCATCTAGCAATTCAGAGGAGTCTATGACAACCCTTGAGGTGCAAATAAGCGTTGGTGGAGCCCATTCTATTAGGTTGCTTCTTTTAAGTATTACAGAGTATAACTCTTAAAGCTCTTCTTTTTCTATGAGGGATATTTGCCCGAGTTCAACTTGGACAGCAGGATTACTAAAAGAATAAAAACACTGTTCTAGAATTCAGAATTTTTTCCGAAACAATTCGATTCCTTTGATCTATCACTGCAGTTGCTTCTCCCTAAACTCAAGGTGTGCCAGAAGAATTGCAAAATAGTTGTTTTGCTGTCCTCACGAAAAGCCATTTCCAAATCTCTGCAGGCTAATGTTTCTCCATAGGTTGATTGACTATACAGTCACATACCTAGGGGAAAACCAAGAACAGCTTTTTAAAAGTTGAAGTTAAGCCATGCCTAACATTAACAGGCTTCATTTCAAACCACCTTCCTAACAACCATCTGGAGAGCGTTCCACATCCACACGCATTCCTGAACACGCTCCTGCAGCTCCTGATTTAAGGAGTCTGTTGCAATGCAGGAGCTCAGAAACCACGAGCAGGGAGGCAGTTCCTAAGGGTCTGCAGGGCAGGACCAACACCAACAGTCTCAGTTCCAGAGCTCACTTTGCTCACTCACCAAAAACTGCTCAAAAGACAGCTGAGCACCTTATCAAAATATACTGTTTTTATGCCTCTATCTGCTGTTTTGATAATACAAATTATATTGCTGCTGTCTACATGCAGTCCTTGCACATTAGAAAACTTAAAGAGAGCAAATTAATGGTATAAGGTAAAAATCAAGTAATATTTAAAAAGAGACAATTTCAAGTTATTCTTAAAAATCAATATTTTGAATGCAGACAACTAAAATAGCAATGTCTTTTTATCCTGTTAGAATGTTCACTGGGAAATAAGTGACCGCTGCTGGCTTGTAGAGAGTCATCTCTGCTGATGCTTCACACTCGAGCAGCACGAAAGCAGCTTCCACAGCCAGGCTCTCACTT